ACATCCTGTAAAATTAAACACTGTTACATAAACTTCAAGTCTCTAGCTCAGAGCCCTATGCTCCCTTGAGAACGTGAAGGAATAGAAAAAAAATAAACAAAAAATACAATAATAATACATTATTTAGACAACATAAACTTTCTTACGGTCGCAAAAACTAAATTTCCTGTGCTTGTGTATCTTCGTTGAGACATCACCGTCTCAAGACTTAAAATAACAATGAAACATTTACTTACATCGGTATATCGATTATATAACCATAAAAAAAACAGTGAATTAGTTTCCTTTGCTTAATCATTCGTTCAGTGTTTACAGAATACTAATGCGATGATGAGCGGCTCCCTATACTGTCATCCCTTATTATCAGTATGCGGATTTCGATTCTCCTAATAAATAGTTATTTTAAACGTATCTTTCTAGAAAACTTATTAAGAACTTACAGTTTACTAATGTAACATAACCTACTACTTGTTAATTATGTGGTGAACTCAGCCGCACAATCTCACTGGAGTCTTATTTTAAAATTATCTGTAAGGTAAAGTCGAATGATACAAGGAGTGTTTTGATCCGACACTTGTATACGTCAGTTTGTTAGTATAGACCCCAACTATGTGCACAGAAAATATTTCGCCAATATCTTTTGTTGCCATAGTATTAAACTCCTTTCTACTTGTTTTATTCTAGTTTTAGTGTTTAGTTCTATTATCTCACTCATACATGTCCATTTTGTGCATTTTACTAGTTTACTGTGGATCCAGTCAGGAAAGAGTTCATAGAACAGAATGAAGTACAAATGTGCTGTTGGAGCCTTATATTCTATTCGAAATCTAGAGGAATAATAAAAATAATAAACGAAGGTGAATTTCACTCAAATGAATTCTTAAAATCAGTGAAGTTATGTGAATAGGAAACCATTGAGATCTTGCGTCACGGTTATGATTTCAACATATCTTAACTCATGTTATATATGACGCAGACTATAGATGAGGTTTTTTTCTCTATAGGTATCAGTACAAAATCACTGTCAAATATGAACAAAAGCGTAAAGTCGTGTATTCGTTTAAGCACTATCTTAATGCGATTTCTCCAGAAGGTGACTGCTTTTCATAAATAGGCTCTTTGAACTGGTCTAACTAAATAAACCTGTTAAAAGTGGCAGTAAAATGTACATTTGATGGTGACCTTATCGACTCTGTTTTAGCTTACTATTTTATCTGGATAGGAACTAGAATGTCAGTGATCTTACAGACATGATTTCCAAAACTGATGAAATCTCGTTAAGTCTTTTATTGTTTAAAAAGTGAAATTTATTAACAGTTTAAAGAAAAGAAATGGACGAAAAGGTATCCCAGTCGGTCAGGGTTCAGGAGGTCACTCGCAAGGCAGAATAGCTGTGTGCTAACGTCTGACTGTACCGCTGTATGACTCCGGTTCTAATCTCAGAGGGGACATCAATTCCTTCTAGCATGTGGATGTATACTTTGCTGATGACTGCTGATGAGCACGACACCTAGGTCTAGTGCAACTTACTAACTGTTCCAAACTATCTAACAGTATTGCATTACTTTCAGGATTTCATCATGAGCTGACAGCAGTTAGAGAACCATTGGAAAACCTGGGAGTACTGGACAGCTGTTTCGTCCTAGTTTGGGACTCTTCAGCAGTACGCACCCACCGGGATTCGAACCCAGGACCTTCCGGTTACAAGGCGAGCTCGTATACCATTAAGCCACTGGGACCCGATCTAATGGTCCTTGAATTCTAACTTCTGCTTACAGACATAGTATTGCATTAATTGTACTACCGACCCTCACCTTTTATAATGATACTGGATATTTTAACAACAGAGGTATTTTGAAAAACATACCAACTTGGGTGTTTTATTTTCCAATTATTATCATTAAAAGTATGAAAAATTCCTATTTTTGATGTAATTAAGAACACCTTAAAATTTACAATATCTTGAAGAAATCCAATTTCTCATTGACAGTGAAGGGGTTCAACCGTGTTTTCTAGTTTTGTATTTAGTTTCTTTCGAGGCAAAGTCAAAAAATGCCCTTCTCGAAGATTGTGTTACAAATTATAAATATCCCAAGTATTTATGGAGTGTGTATTTGCAGAAATTGCATCCATATACATTACTGAACTTTAAAACATCATACCTTTGTGTCTAATTAAGGATTTACGTTCAGGCACACACAAGATGTTATATAATATCAGTCGAAATTGCTGAGTGTGTGATGATTTATCTAATCACAGAAAAACGCGTACAAGAATCTAAGCAAAACCTTTTACAATCCTTGAGGATAGTGGAAGTCCCTGCCGACTTCCGCTGCATCCAGCAAAATTGGTGTTCATTTTCTCAAATGTAGCACTCTTGTCAAAGTCAACTTTAAACATTGTTACTTGGAACCAAATTCCACCATCAAGATCCCAAAGACCCTTTGTCACTAAATCCAACCAACATTAAGTTTCATTTTTCACTTTTCCTGTCACTGGACTGTCATTACCTTACCCATATGGGAAATAGAAACGTTAGCATATAAGTGTCAATTCATGAACACTTAATTACTTCCTACACAGCATCGCATTGTGATTTTGAGGTTAGTCTGGTGTCAGTGTCTCAGACTGTGATTAAAAACGTTCCTGTTTTCTAGTCGAAGCTTTACCAGAATTATTTGAGGTCCTATAGATGGTTTATTGTATTTCAGTCCACCAAACTTTACTATACTCAGTTTATTGTATGAGCACAGGTATAAAGAGAGTCTAGTGTAACATTGTTCTTCAAGTGAATTACGGCGCTTTATAAATTATTTGAAGTTACAGATAAGACAATGGAGGCCATCTTGAATCACTGGGCTACAGGGGTACATTTCCCGAAATAGACAAAAGGAAAATATCACATCAGGTTGGTATATGCTACATATCGAACAGTATTGCAGTAATGCAGTGTATTGTGGATTACTTCTTTATTTGATGATTTTGGATAAACACAAAGTATTATTCAATACATTGTACTGGGAATTCCGTACATTGTGTAGACTTTTTATTCAGAATATAGTCGTTATTATTGTTGTTATTATTATTGTACCTGTTAAGCATACTGATTTCAAGTAATCTCTGTGACCTGTTTGGCAATCTCTTAGTTTAATCAACGTAGCTTCCATGATGATGATTCACATATCTTTTCATCAACAGCTATAAGTCTTGTTAGAATTTATTGAATAAAAGTATGTAATCTGTTATGAGTGATTGATAGTGGGTTGTGGGTTCGTCTATAATGGCTCCCACACAAAGTAATGTGGCGTCACTGTTTGGTAACTGTATAACAGAATCGATGTCTCAGTGATTCCTCAAACTCACTTTTATCTTCTTCATAGATGCTTCTTTATATTAAGTAGGACTTCAGCGTCAGCTGTAACTCTAACATTGTCTACATTCAGTGCTTCATTTTCTTTTGACGAAGCTCTCATGAGACGAAATCTACTATTGCAACAAGATTAGATTTCACGAATTTTCAGGCTATAACTGATGAAGCGAAAATGACTTCGTGAAACTTCTCCTGTTAAACAAAATTAGAGAGAGAATTCTTTCTTTTCCTGTGAGACAAGAGAAAGCGGGATGGAAATCTCTTCTATAGAACTGATTAGATTCCCTTTCTCTGCACATATAGTGTCTTCACCATGATTCCACGCATTATTTGAATCCAGGTTCTCAGTCAAATTTCTAAAATCAGTTTGCACGGCCTATTTGAAATCAAACTGTGCAAATAACGCATTAACTGATAGACTGTTCTGTACTTCTGTGGCTGGCTGGACAACTGAATCAATAACAGAATGTATTTCGATCATTTTAACTTGTAAGGCTTCATTCTGCTTCTGTTGCTGTTGCGAAAGTTACTAAACTTACCCGAAACTAAACGATATGTATAAGGAATCCATCGAAAATTGATATGCTTATATACAATACTAGTGCGTCGGTGGCACAGCGGTAGAACGCCCACCAACCACGCGTGTGTTCCGAGATTCGGTCCTCGACTGACGCACTTCTTTATCTCGCTAAGCCGGTAATAAGCCTGGTAAAGAAGGAAGGTTGGACATGAGGCTAGCAACCCCATCCTGTAAAAATAAACACCACTGCTACCGAAACTTCAAAGCTCTAGCTTGAAGGTCTATGTTCCAAGGGGAACGTGAAGGAATAAAAAAATACATACAATACTGGATTCTACTAGGAGTTGAGATTGTTTGCACTCAACTGAATAACCCCATCGCCGAAATATGTTATAATTGGAATGATACCAGTTTGCGGTTTTATCTATGATACAGTCATTAGCTTGTAAATTATTTAAGCGTGTCGTATGCTTATCAGATTAAGAGCATTCTACTTTTGACGCTGATACTAACCTATCATTACACATGAGTTATAAAAATACTGCCTCAAGACCGGTTTCAACAGTGTGAATTGAATAATGACTTGCCCTATTCAGGTAGGTAGTTACCTGAGGTTCTAGTGGGACATGGTGACCAGTAGGGTGCAGCAGGTTGGGTGTGAGGACAAATATTCGCCGAAGACATTGGCTAAAGGTAGCGCTATATCTTGAATTGACGGAAGTTAGAATTATTGGGCTGGCCGTTGAATCGGGTCCCAGTAGCTTAATGGCCTACGAGCTCGTAACCAGAAGATCCTGGATTCGAACCCCTGTGGTGGGTGAGTACTATCCCAGACTAGGACGAAACAGCTTGCTGTCTAGTACTCTCAGTTGGTTTTCCAATGGTTCTCTAACTGATGTCAGCTCATGATGAAATGTGAATTCAATACTATGCGATTATTTTATTGCAAAGATGAAAAAGACCTTCAGATAAATTGAAAAAAAACAGTATATGTATGTATGTATGTGAATCAATTTATTTGACAGTATTTAAGTACATATTAATTCTGTGAATGAATATAAGAATTTGTGAAGATTGTCTGCATAGAATCATATTAGAGAATAGTTGTGATTAAACTTCCATTAGTCCACCACGATATTCTTTTATAGGAAACCAACGTTTTCTGTTTGTTCCCCACGATCTACGTGGATATGCTTTATGATAACTGAAATTTATACAAAAATTTACAGATTATTACTATGAATATAATTATATTTTCATTTGAAATATGTTTATAAATACTTGCATAAACCTATATACTACTGACTGATTGAAATGAGTAGTCGTATGCCACTCATATCAACCAGCAGTGTTTGCTAGCCGGGTTGAAGCGATCTAAACATCACACAGATATTTTAGTCGTTTGGTGGAAGACTCATCAGTCCCCCTAAAGTAATTTGTCAGAAATTGGACTATTTGAATAGATTTGGCCCTCTGAAGTAAGTCGAAATGAATACGCCACCCAGATGCAGTCGAATGAAACGGAAATTCAGTTATTTAATTCAATTTTAGATTTTCCCGTCGATTGACTGGACCGAAGTGCTCGGTGTCAGGTTGACATGTCGGCTTCTTGTGCAGATGCTTTGACGATGTCTGGGTATGTAATTAAAATTTAATTAGTGGATGGTGACTAGCAGCGGAATCTACCAGGATAACGCGCATTTCGTCCTATTTGGGACTCGTCATCTGGATGTGCCTGCATTCCACAATGAGTGATGATGTTTCCACCAAGGCTCGAATCCAATGCCCACTGTTTCGGTTCATTCAATCGACGGGATAGTTTAAAATTGAAATAAATAATTAATCTGACCCGTTGCACAAGAGGTGGCTATCGTGACCCAAGTGGTCTAGTGAGCATTCAGTGTCTATGTTTCTCCAGTCTGCCTGGTGGGTAAGCACTACTGTTTGATGTCAGTGGCATCCAAACCATTCATCTCAATTAATCAGCACTATATATAGTTCTATGCAAGCATGCTTTTTTTCTTAATTACTATTTTTCGTATCAAGCAGATCATATATTGTGACCTGAGTAAGTTTGGTTTCCAAAGGAAACTGTGATGAAATAATCACTTCGAATTTTGTTAATTTCGAATTAATTGGTAAAATATGAACCAGTTTACCAGCTGTGATTTTGATTTACGGCACACCAGTTCGCCAGATATTGGGTGGTTTGAATTGATTTGGCTGTCTGAAATGAGTCAAATCGGGTAAATCACTGATGTACTCGGCCGCATGGGGGCGAAACGACCTTCCGGTTGATGTGAGTGGCATACAACTACTCATCTCACTAAATCAGTAGTATATAGTTTCCATGCAAATGTGTTCGTTTTCTTGGTTACCATTTGGGGTATCAAGCAGATCTGATATTGGGATCTCGATAAATTCTGGTTTCCAATGGAAACTATGATGAAATCTCACCTCCTCGAACTATGTTAATTTGTAAATTACGAATTAATTTGAAAATTGTAAATTTGGTTTACATATAAATAGCAGGGTTCTGGGTTTATACACCAGGACGCGTCAATTTTACCAGAAAAATCCCCATTTATCTGTAAACATGTGCCAAAAGCTAAGATGTTTTGTCTTCTACATTTGTTTTAACCGCTTTCAATGTGCGTACATGGCTCAGACCCCATATGTGTACATTACCTTGGATATTTCTCCCAAGATTGTGATCACGATCATTTTCGATGATCAGTAAAATATGATAGAAAATATTTGTAGATTTAGATGTAGATGTTGACTTGAATACGTTCTTCCTGACGGTTTTATCTAAAGTAGAACTGTGGTAGTGTGATACGGACAACGTGTTATTATTATTTCCTTTAATTCTTAGAGGAACATATGGCTTCAGCTCCATTGAGTTCGGTTCTCCTCTAAAGTTTTCACCTGGCTCCAAGTCTGCCCACATGCTTTCATCTCCTCTTCACATGACCTCCTCCAAGTCACCCTGGCACTGACGACCAACTCGCCTCTTCCCTTTTGGGTTCCACTCGAGTGGTGGCCTGTCTTGTGATGTCACTTGATAATGGTTTGTTTTCTCGGAATATGGCCAATTCATCTCCATTTCTTTCTGCTTATCGGTTGCACAATCGGTTCCTGCTGGGTTGGTTCGCTCCCAGAGATCCCTATTACTGATCTTTTCTGACCACCTGATCTTGAGAGAAGGCAGCTGTTGATGAAGGTCTTTATTTTGTTCGAAGTGGCCTTCGTGACACGCTGGCAAAGTCTCTCACCCGTATGTATAATGAGTAGCACTGACTTTACATTAGAGTTGAAAATCCCGATCTTATTTTTCATGCCGAGTGCGGTCGACCTCCACACGGACTTGAGAGTAATGAAAACTTGCCTTGCTTTATCGATCCTTGCTTTCATATCCTTGTCAGTTCCGTCCGCCTGTAGTTGAAACGATGCTTCCAAGATAGTTAGGTCAAGGATGTTGCTCCTTTCGGATTTCTCCCATTTATCCTAATTGTCGTCTGTTGTTGTTGTTGCTGTTGCTCTTTGCCAGGAATCTTCATCACCTCCGTCTTCTCTATGTTTACTTGGAGTCCCTCCTGTCTTTGATGCCTCTTCTGCCAACTTGTTGCTTTTCACTTGCATATCTTCCGGTTTGTGGGAAATCAGACATATGTCATCGGCAAAGTCCAGATCTTCCAAGTTTTTTGTGTGGGTCCATTTTATGCCTGTTTTCTCATTGCCCATTGTTTGTCGCATTATCCAATCTACTGCAGTCAGGAAGATCATTGGCAACAGTAGACAGCCTTGTCTTACTCCCGTCCTCACTTCAAAGAATTCCGTGAGGTTCCCGTTGTGGATTACTTGGTATGCAGCATTGTCGTATAACTGTTGGATGAGATGCATAATTGTCGATGGAACCCCTTGGTAGTAGCGAAGTAGTTCCAAATGACCTCTCGATCGACGCTGCACTATCGAATGCCTTTTCAAAGTCGATGAAGTTGAGTGAGGTAGGGAGGTGACTGCCATTCCAAGCTTTGTTCGATGATGATCCGTAGTGTGGTGATTTGATCAATACATGACTTGTTTCTCCTGAATCCAGCTTGTTCCGGCCGGAGTTTTGCATCCATGTTGGCGTGTTTGATCCTCTCCAGGATGATGCGGCTTAGTATTTAGCTTGGAATGGACAGGAGCATAATTCAGCGCCAGGGTTTACATTGACTTAAGTCTCCTTTCTTTGGTAGTTTGAATAAGTATCCCTTCTTCCAATCCTCAGGTACCTTGGCCTCTTTCCACACCTTCTCCAGTAGTGATGGTGTCATCAAGTCCGCTGTTGTCTCTGGGTCCATTTTCAATGCTTCTGCTGCTTTTCCAGCTTGTAGCATCTTGATTGCATTCAGGACTTTCGATTTTGTCGGGGAGTCGATGTTCACTGGTAGTTCTGCTTCCGTTGTTGGTATTGTTGGGCGCGTTGTAGGTGGCAGTCGAACTAGAAGTCTTTTGAAGTGTTCAGTCCAGTGTTTTCTTCGCTCCACCTCTTTGGTGATTGACTTTCCATTGTCATCCTTGACTGGCTTAACCTGTGTCGAACTTTTTCCCGATAGGTGCCTAGTTGTTTGTTAGAGTGTAGCGAGGTCTCCTTTGCCTGCAGCTTGTTCTGCTTCACTTGACATGGCTTCATAATATTTTCTTTTGTCTTCCCTGGCACTCTTCTTCACTCTTTTGTTCAGTGTATTGTAGCTTGCATTCAACTCCTGTTTTTGTTGCTCATCGATGCACTGGATAATCTTTTGTCTCAATATCCTTCTCTCTTTTTTTAGTTTCCAAGTGTCTGTAGTGAGCCACTGTTTGTCCTGTCTCTTCTTTCTGCCTAGAACTTCCATGCAGGTTTGACTCCACCTTGCTTTCAGGTTGTCGCAGTGCTTTTCGACGCTGACTTCTTCGCTGGTGTTGATTTGTGTCTCGGCTTTGTCCTTTGTGCTTGCAATGAAGATGTCCTTTGTATCCTGCTCCTTCAGTTTTTGATTATTGAACTTGTCTTGTGGGACAATGTGTTCCAACGGAATATAATTCTCACATATTCGAACAGTTCAGTACTGAGTTAGCAACAGAATACTATGTGTATTTGAGCATTGTATTTCACGTCATTTGACTTCCGTGTCTCGCCTTCTGTTGGTATAGAACTATCAGTGATACTTTAGTCATTGTGTTCACTCTAAAATAGAATTTATAAGCAAGCCATAGCTGTGGTGAACAGCAGTCATTGTGTTCATTTGTATAGAATCTCTGTTAACTAATAACTTTTATCATAACATAAGTTCCATGGTGCAAACTCAGCAAATAGGGCGTCTTTAAAGTAGATTTCAAAATTTCATGAGAATTTGATATCAATACATATACATATATTAATTGTTTTAGTCAAATAGTCAGGATGATTTGCCTACATATTAATCCCTACAAGTATGTTCACTGCCTTGCAATTATAACGTATAACACAACAATTATCTTCACACAGTTATTCCGCTTTAGGAATCTTAATAAAGGAAGAACAAGGGTTTTGTAGAATAAGATTGTTCCATTGTTTATTTTGTCAGCTTTTCATCATCTGAGTATATATCAAAAAAATGAATTCAGTTCATGTATAGAACAATTTTAACATACTTGCAAATGTGACAAGATGTCCGTTGGCTAGAGACTACAAACTTCGTTAATACTGCTCATAAATTACAGGCACATATCCTATACACAGAAGATTCAAGTTCAAACAAGCCTCAATGGAACAAACTCCTTAAACAATGCTACTGTCAGACATTTCGTTGATATAGATCGTTCGGAAGACACTATGAAATCCTTGAAAATTATCAATAGACAAAATAGTTTAGTGCTATTGAAGATTGCCAAGGCAGTTGCTATCGAACACCCACAACCCGATTTATTTGTTTATAAAAAAAGCAGTTATCAGTCTTTTCTTGCCCAGGTAACTGGAAATATCTACTGTCTCTTTGATTCGACTACGTAATGACTGGCTTTAGCCTATCTCTATTTGATATAGTATGACTTTGCTTGTCTTTTGGTTCTCTAGTTCGAGTTGAACTCACCACATTGATACTCAGCTTATAAGTCGCTCATCACTTTATTCACCGCTTGCTTTTATAACCTATTTACTTCGACATTCTGTCCAAGTTTTTATTTTTTGTTTTGACTTGAATGTTTGTGTATCAGCTATATCAGTGTCTACTGTCAACTGACATCATGTCACATTTTCAAATATGTTTAAATTTTTCTGCAACTAAACTGAATTCATATCTTTAGGCTTTACTCAGCATTTGAGAAGCCAAGGAAATAAATGGTGATACCATCTTACTTTGCACAAATCGCTGTTGATGATTTTTTTCAAAAACAACAATATTATTATTGTATTATTATTTCCTTGAGTTCCAAGGGGAACATAGAGCTTCAACAACACGCCTCCACTTTCTTCTACCTTCTGCCGTCCTCTTCAAGTGTCTGCGTCCACGTTTGACGATAATCTCTCATCTCCTCCTCCAACTCTCATGATCTCCACCATGTAACCCTTGCACCGACGATCCACACATCACCGCTCCCCCCTTGGGAATCCCCTCGAGCGATGGCCTGCTCACCTTATGCCCAATCCATCTCCATTTTCTCCTACAGGTTTGTTGAGGGATCGGTTCTCGCCTGTTGCTTTGTTCCCAGCTAGAGTTTCTTGTTCCTTATTCTTTCTAGCCATTCGATCTTCAGTATGGAGCCAGCGAAGCAGACAGCTGTTGATGAAAGTCTGCAGCCGGTCGGAAATGCTTTCCGTGACACGCAGTGAAAGTTTCTGACCCATATAGAAGAACTGACTGATTTAACATTTGTGTTGAGAATCCGAATGTTGTTTTTTACGCTGACTGAGTGCAGCATAGAAGATTTCCAAACTGAATCTCGGTTGATGAAGGCGTATCTTGCCTTTCCGATTCTGGCTAGCTGACTCTGACATCTTCATCCGTTCTGTTGGCCTTTAGTTGAAACAGTACTGCCTGTCTATATAAGCGAAGGAAGTAGTCTCTACTAAAAACAACAATAATAATTAGCTCTTATTTAAAATATTAAAGAATAATGACGTAAGATTTAGAGAGAAAGGAAAACGGCGGACTTACTAGAGTGGATAATCATCAGATAATGAATCGGTATTCAATAATCCTTCGGGTATTTCGTTATTCAAATGCCCATGAGGTTTTGCATCCAATTCCATTATGATTATGCACGCAAACACTTTGAAGAAAAGTATCATAAATGAAGTAATATTAATGACCAACCGATATGTGGGTATGTATATAAAACACAGGTCATAAGTTCTTGAAATATGTGAATTAATTGCATAAGAGAAGATAATGTTAAATCTAATGAAAGAAACAATCATATATACACCCATTTTGTGTACCAGTGTGTGTGTGTGAGTATCTTTAACTGATGATAATAAAGAATAACATTGAAGTCCCTTGAAATCATTTCCCTTAATATCTTCAAAACCATAAAACAATTTAAAGGTCATTCATTGTTAAAGTAGAAGGGAAATTATAACTTCTTTTCTGCTGCACGCAATATTATGTACACACAGAGAAATTTCACTTTCATGACAATTTGATTGAATTGTAGATTACTTGTAATAATTTTATTCATTCCTTTTATTTACTGAAAGATATGGGTTTGACCTTATAGGGGAATTAAGGAATTCAAGAAAGTTAATAAGCCTTTAGGTTAATCTACATTTCTTGTTGATTGATTATACAGAACGGATGTGTTAAGTCTATGTTGACATGTCAGCCCCTAGTACAAACGCTTCGACAATATCTTAGGATTAACATCAATTTTTCTTTCACATTGATGGTGACTGGTAGTGGAATTCGGGGTGAGCAGTTTATTCTATTTAGGACTTGCCAGACAGATGTACCTAAGATTCCCAATGAGTAATGATTCTGTTCCCATTGAGACTTGGAACGAACATCTATCATTTGAAACACCAAAGCATTATCCATTGCTAGGTTATTATGACCAATAGACTCACCTGTCGTTTGATGGGTTATAATTTTTTTGGGTTAATTTGAATTCCTCGCGTAGGTCTCAATGTTATTCTAACCATTGAAAATGCGAGAATCTCATGAAAAGAGTTGATGTTTTACTTCGTAAATCCCTAAGTTTTATGTCTAACAGTTTACATTTTCATACGATGTAATATTCAAAAGGAAACAAGTGAGCAATTTTGATTTGGTTGTATTGTCTGAGATGGTTGATTCAATTGGGTAGCTTTCGTTATCTTCCTAGAAAGCATCTTCAGTGCAAGCTATAGTAATAAAGTGAACTTATTCGAATTATCCAGGAATGATATAACTGTATCTCTTGACAACCGTTGTTTTAATGAGTTTTTAATTTACATTGGTCATTTTCATTGACTTGAAATTTGAACTTTCTTTTTGTATGATTTACGTTTTATTACTTGGTAAATTTGACCTGTAGTAATGTATCTGTTAATGGTTGATTCGTCGGATTACCAGGCTTCTAGAAATTCCCTAGCACTTTTGGTCTTTCGTCTGTTTAAAATTTCTGCATACTGTCAATCCCACTAGTGTCTGTAACTGTCTGTGTGCATTAATGTGAAAGAATATACGTCGTATCTTTGCATACCTAATTTACATTCTTGGACATTGATTCGATCGGGAGAATGCAGAAATTTTAAACAGACGAAAGGTGCCAAGGGATTTCTAGAAGTCTGGTAATCAGACGAATCAACGATTAACAGATACATTACTACAGGTCAAATTTACCAAGTAATAAAACATAAATCATACAAAAAGAAAGTTCAAATTTCAAGTAAATAAAAATGATCAATGTAAATTAACAAATAATCACAAAAGTGGTTGTCATGATATACAATTGTATTATCGATGAATAATTGGAATAAGTTCATTTTATTTTCTATAGTTGGTTTGTAAGGGTTAGTTTTGTTTTTACGAGGTGATCACCGATTAATATCAGCTAGAGAACCATTTAAAATCCCCCAGGGAGTAGTGGACAGCTGTTTCCGTTGTCCTAATTTGAGACTCATCATCAGTACACATCCGCTGGGTTTCGAACCCAGGGCCTTCCGGCTACAAAACAAACTCGTACACTGGGATCCGATTCAATAGCGAGACTATGAATTCTAAATTCTACCAATTCGTGATTTAGCGTGACCCGAACTAATGTCATCGGTGGGACATGAAACAACTGTCCAGTACTCCCTGGTGGGTTTTCAATGGTTCTCTAACTGATATCAATCCATGTTCAACTCGTAAAAATTTCACTTTATATTAAAGCTTGACCTGAAGATGTTGTCTGTGCGGAAAACGAAAGCTTCTCAATTAAATCAACCATAACTAACATAATCAACATAACCCTAATCAAAATTATTCACCTGAGCTACAAATCTTCATTACATGTTAGCAATAAATCTTGCCCTGGATTAGATCTCCTAAGGCTTTACTCTAATATAAACAAATTGATAAAAAAAATATCAATTATAAATGAGGTATATTGATTTGTTAATAGAACAATAAGCTTGTTATAAATTGTGCTTTAGTCTATCTCATATGTTAATCATGACAGTAATAACTGGGGAAAACTATAAGTTGTGCAGTGAACGCATTTGTTGATTGATAAATATTTAATTAGTTTACTCCTTATCCAAAGGCTTAATTCATTATCATATTTCTATCATGTCTTAGAAACTGAGAAAAACATTAATTATTTTTACGCATGGTTTAACTTTTCAACATTGTTGTTTTTAGTAAGTAAATATGTCAATAAGCAGGTAATTAAGTAAGTAAATAAGTAAGGAATTAAATAAGCAAGTAGTTTAGTTACTGACTACATGAGGAAGTAGACTGAAACTGTAATGAGAAGTCGTGACCTGTGCGGTCCATCCAGTCGGGAGTGAGGATGCAGTTTCCGCCGGTGATATTGATTAGCGGTAGCACTAAAAATCGCGAAATGGTAGAAGTTAGAATTCATTGTCCAGGTTTCAGTGGCTGAGTGGTTCATGAGCCTGCCTTGCGACCGAAAGGTCCTGAGTTCGAATCCCCAGTGGGTGTGTAGTGATGAAGAGTCTCAAACTAGGACGACAGAAACATCTATCCAGTACTCCTGTGATGGTTTTCCATGCTTCTCTAACTGATATCAATCCGTGGTCTAACCTCAAGTTAAATAATTTCAGAAAATAGCTACAGGGAAAGTAAGGATTATCACACTATTTTTTGAATGCCTAATTTTCATCGCTTTTGGGAAGATAAGTCGTTTCTAGGTGCGGATTAATAATTAATAAATACGATTTCCGCAAAAAGCACTTAATACCTACATGCTTTTATGCTTTTCTTTTACTTTTAATAAAAAAAAAACTGATCGGTAAACAAAATGGATATTCTTTTCGATATATCTTCTTCTTCTTCATTAGGTTCTACAGTTATATGACCATAATAATTAAAGAATTAATGTTGTTTTTAAATTAAGCTGAATCAATAGGATAACCGACAGATTACAGTTCAAAAGCATCTGTAAGTGGTAGACAATCTGCATTCACCTAACACTAGACTGACTATCAGATAAACTAAGGGAAGTACAACAAAAATTCTGAATTTATAGGTTCCACAGAAAACCACAGGGTTAGCAATAGTGTCTGAACCTATTTCTTGCTCTATAAGGCAATCGAGACTGGATAAGTACCCTGCTGATGTTACCTTCAACTGCATTTATAAATTTACGTGTACCTGTGGCAGCAAGTACATTGGAAGGACAGAAAGAAGAGCTTCTATCCGGTTTTCAGAGCATATTCCAAGAAACTTATGCCTAAAAGGAAGCAGATACTTACAAAGTGCAATTACCACAATCCCACCCTGTGGATACGGGTCATTTTGTCGAGATTTCTAAATCCTTCAAAATATTAAACATACAAAGGACAGCGAATCTACTACGATTTGCTGAAGCAATTGCAATCAAACGTCACACACCAAACTTATGCATACAGAAAGAGAGTGGGATTAATCTCTCACTCTCTTGGTAACCATAACACTTTCATTACACTGATTAGTCATACACACTAACTCAACTCACTAAGCAATTTTTCAAACTGATGAACTTTGACCTTCTTGAGTTGCCATGTTGACACTGTTTATTAGATTTTTCTGTTTTCTGTCTTCTCTCACCCCCCTCTTTTCTTTTTTCATAGTTTGACAGTATATAAATTGATGGTGACTTAGATTATAATACTTATATTTCAGATGCGTTCACCTTATAATGTTTTCTCTGTTACCTTTCAAACAATGAAGTATGAAATGTTATTATTTATAACCATTGTAATTTCAGGTAGTTCGCAGCTGATGAGAACCTGTGAAATAGAATGATGATATCATTTTATACTGCAAATCTGGTCTTTCTTTCTCCATCGAAACTTATCAAGGGAACCAAATGTATGAAATATTTCTTTTTCATTTAGAGGTCAGGTTACAATTTTTTTGAGGCAAATAGTAGTGAGTGATCTGCTTTGTTTCGAGTGTTCAGAATCTAGAGACCTTTGTTAATTTATTAAGTACATTTTATAAAGGTTCATGCACATTGAATTTATTATACCAATAAAAACACTTTGTTCATACAATCTAATAACATAAATATTTAACCCACGTGAGATCAGTATTATCTACCTACAGGCATCAAATTAATCTCAATAATCTAATTAACTATTATTTTCTGCTGTGCATCAGTAAATCTGTTACAAACATACTACTTATTTCATGTTAAGCATCATCTTTAGAAGAAAAAAAAGTTATAAAGAATTAAGCCAATTTATTAATAATACTGCTGATAAAAAAGTTGAAGTAAGCATTTAAAATTTACATAGAAAGTTTAAATTATTTTAGTCATTTCAGTGGGAAATCATGGGCAGTAGGGTGGGAGGACAAATACTTAGCGAAGATATTGGCTGGAGGTCGTAATATGTCGTGAATTGGCAAAATTTGGAATTCATGGACCATTGTATCGGCAAACAGTGGTCTACGAGCTAACTCGCCTTGTAACAAGTAGGTCCTGGGTTCGAACCCATTGTGGTGGGTCCCAAACTGGGCTGATGAGACATCTGGCTGATCAGTACTCCCTGTAGGTTTTTCAATGGTCGTCTAACTGATGTCAGCTCATGATGACACCCTGTAACCAAATAATCAAATCCCCACAGAGCAATATTTGAAACT